CTTGAATACATTGTATGTTTTATTTTGAATCTATATAAAAAAAATTTGTAAGGGTTCCGCGGAACCCAGTGTCTCGCCTACTTTTGCTGTTAATCACAGGCTCAACAAAAATGAGGAAAAAAATTAATAAAAATATTCCTCTCTATACTATCTTTTGATTGTAAGTAGCTTCTGTCCAAGTTTTGTAAAAATCCAGGATAGTTTATGAATCTAATAAATGTTTTAAAAACTTAAACTGCAGACTGTATGTAATGTTAACTGGAAGAAAAACTAAGTCCCTTTATAAGTAAAATAGGAAAAAACGGAACAAAATTTTAACAACATTTCCTTCTAGATACTAGCTTTTAATCATAAACAAGCTTCTGTCCAAGTTTGGTACAAATCCAGGATAGTTTAAGAAAGTTGTTAAAATTTTAAAAACTTTAACCAGAGTGAATGTAATGTTAACTGGCAGAAAAACTAAGTCCATTTATAAGTAAAATACGGAAAAAATGGAATTTTTTTTTTACAAAATTTACTTTTGGATACTATCTTATGATCATAAACAAGCTTCTTTCCAAGTTTGGTAGAAATCCAGGATAGTTTAAGAAAGTTATTAAAATTTCAAAAACTTTAACCACAGAGTGAATGTAATGTTTCTTTGCAGAAAAACTAAGTCCATTTATAAGTAAAATACGGAAAAAATGGATTTATTTTTTTACAAAATTTACTTTTGAATATTATCTTATGATCATAGACAAGCTTCTGTCCAAGTTTGGTAGAAATCCAGGATAGTTTAAGAAAGTTATTAAAATTTCAAAAACTTTAACCACAGAGTGAATATTTGTGGACGCCGCCGCCGCCGCCGACGACGACGCCGACGCCGACGGAATGTAGGATCGCTATGTCTCGCTTTTTCAACAAAAGTCGAAGGCTCGACAAAAACATAAAATTTTCCAAAATGACAAGGGAATTGTTTCAACTAAAATAGAGAAATATGTTGTTATTATTTTGGACACTACCTTTTATTACAAACCAACAAAACAAATTATTTCAAAACATTCAAAGAATTGATATCTCAAAAAACTCTCCGATATCAAATAACTCTAAAAGGTCTAATGATGTTTGGTCAGAAAGCAACAATGTCAACAATTTCCGACAAATTTTAAACCAAAAAACAATTAAATAATCAGTGGCAACAACATTTAACATATCTTTTTTTAGAGTCCCCATTCATTTGATAAATGGTTTTTCTTAAGAATTTTTATTATTGAAATAGAAGAATTTCTCACTTATCCGTCTTTTTTTATTCGTCTTTGCCTATAAAATTTTTTAATTCCTCCTAAAACCAAATTGTACAAACAATGAACATGTCACCATTAATGTATAACCAGAAGATGCATTCAGCCTTAAAATGTGTCAACTAAGTAAGTTACGCTCGCACCATGTAACACTCAGAACAGCCGAGAGTGATAAGAGCTATCATCGTTTAACCCATTACTTCTCCGGCTAGGCATAAATCTACTGCAGCACATTGGAGCCTTATTGCCTTCTTCTCATGAAAATGTCATCCTTGGGGAAATAAAAGCCGAAAGTAAATCAAATTAACTGAAAATTCTATTTTTTTACACAGAAGCTTAAATATTTTAAGCCGATTGCTAACGGTTTATTCCTGATGTCTAAATTAGATCTCAATTTCCCCAGTGCTAATCGAATTTTCTATGAAACGATCGACACTACAATTGTTTGTCTCTCAACGTTTGACGTTGCAGCTTTCTAATCACAAATGATCAGAAACCATTATGGGTTTACAAGTCCCCAGGGTGACATACTGCAACAATATTACCTCTTTCTATGATGAAAAAAGTATATTTTACTACTGTGGATTAATTATAAATTTTCGTGGATTTCGTGGATATATGAAAACCACAAATTTCAGCATTCAACAAATTCCAATTTCATCATGATTTGTGTGTAGAATTTGTCTACATAATTGAAATTTTTCCTCTATACTTGAAATGAATGTCCAAATGAATAAAATAAACTAATACACAATTAAAGGGTCCCACAAACCTAAAAGGAACATCTCGGAATATTTTCAAAGTCAACAATTCTCATAACGCCTTACAGTGGTAAGTTTTTCCACAGAGGCTGTATGGCTATTTATAGATTATATTTACTGTAAAGGATATATATATAATCCTTAGAAGTTCACTTTAAATACTCGCCTAAATTACATTTAATCTGATTTAAGCACTTCTAATAATCTCTTTATAAAATGACCACTTAACTGATGGACTCAATCCAATTTGTAATTTAGCTATAATACATCAGTATTATAAGTCTTCTGAAAATTAATCTGGTTCTAATCCATACTGAGTCTTTCTCTGGCTATTACCATTACAAAAACAAAATCTGATTACAGCAGTAACACAATGGTCGTAAATAATTTGTTGGATTATACAATTAAAACCTCCTTGTTCTTATGTCTATACCATTATGGCATCTTTTAACCAGGTGCACGACTATGACCTTGAACTTTAACTCTATTACAAAGCTTAGCAAAAAAATTAATCTGCAATAGAACCATGACCTTTAATGTGCAACAAAAAATGTCAAGAAATGTCATTGACCGTTGTGATCACGGAAATTATGAATTTTAGATTTGCACATTTAGTGTTTATCTATGTCTCCCCATTTAAATTCTAAATACAAGTGTTATCCGTAATAATTACTTAAAATCAAAGCTATGAAAGTCATTTAGTAACAGGTCCACACTCTTAAAGAAGACCTAGCCAACCAGAAAAGTTTGTTATAGAAAACATATTCAGACACCAGCAAATCAGAAATCCCTTATGATCTTTTACCATTAAGGTGATTGCACAATAAAAAATAATCCCATTTAAAACAAATTATGGCTATAATTCTGCCATGTTGTTTGTTACATAAGTATAATCCAGTTAGGTGTAACCCTGTAATAACTGAAACTTAATAACAGTTCAAAATACGGCACATGTAAAACTTTTCATCCGACTTATACCTTAAATGTGATTAAATGAGATTAATATCAAATCAGAAAGTGTGAAGGAAATTATGGGCTTCTATTAAAAATGGGGAAGAGAAAATTTGACCAATATAAACAAAGAGAGAAATGTCCTGCCTCATCAATCTTACTCCATGGCTACTTGTAAATTTTAGGCACAATCAAGTTAAATGTGCTTCTGTGCACAAGTGCTGACAATTATGAAGTTTTATACTTGCACGGTGCGGCGTACTATAAGTTCAAGAAAACACAATTATCATTTGTATCTTTTTTTTTCTGAATGGAATTGAGATTACCAGCCTAATACCTCAGCTCTCGGTCAAAATACATGACTCAGTATAGAAGTACAAAAACATTTGAGCTCAAAACACAAAATCCAGTATTTTTGTTGGTTGACATTGAAATTTTTATGACTCCAAGGCCTGGTCATTTGAAATGAAGCATTACAAGATCATATGCATGATATCTTCATCACATTCTATAATATTTGAGGGTTCTTGAATTGTTGTGTAACAAACACCTCTTTAAGCCTGTATGTATTTAAACCAGTTTTGACTAGTTTGATTAATGTGTCTGTCTTGTGTTATAAATTTCCCACTATTTCCATTCAGGACATTTCACATTTTCCATTAAAACATTAGAGAAATAAGATGAAGAAGCTATTAAAGCAGGGTGGAATTAGTGGACTAGTAAAAATCTTTGCATGTGTGCTGCAGAAGGGATGCCTAACAACATTTTTCTGTCTATTTAAATAAATATAATACATGAATAGACCTTAATACGAATTATAACAGTTGATCAGCACTATGTTGAGTCTGCAAAAACCTAGACATAAAGGATTAAAATGTAAACCTAGAGATCAGAGGCAGATTTAGACAGGTTGGCCTTCAATGGAGCTACATATATGGTAAATGCATAGACATTTTTACAAGTTCCACTCCTAAAATTGCTTTAGTACTCTGATCACCCCTCCTCCAACCTCTATGCCCTCAATTTTTTCAAAATCCTGAATGAGGAACTGGAGAGTCTAACTTCAACCTAAAGAAATATGTACAAAATTTTTCGTTTCTTTCACAGAAAATCTAAAAGAAAACAATCCTAGAAATCATGACATTTTTGGTATATAATCAAAGTTTTTTTCTTTGTGAAAAGTACCCCGTGTTATACAACTGAGTACACCATTATGAAGGCAATATCATAATGTTTTTAACTGTACATTTCATAAGGTCACAACAATGTAAACAAATGTTAAGCTATATTATTTCCTCATTAAAGTCAATTTTTTCTCAAAATCCAGACATAAACAGAAAACTGGACATGAAATCAAGCTAAGTGCCCATTAATATACCATTTCTGTTTATTTTCTCATTCTGAATAACATATCAGATTTACATAGATAGTTTGATATTGTTCTGTTAAAGGTTAAAACATTTTCATTTGAATTTAAATGTAAACATAAATCCGAATTATTTTCAATAAAGACCGACTCCATTATACAATACATATACAAGTCTTACCTTTCGTGAAGCATCTGGCATGTCATACGAAATGATCCATTTCAAAATAATATTCCTTTGTTGAATCAGTCCCCTTAATGGTATTGAACGTTCAGCACCAGGTGAATATTAAAAATCGTCTTAAAAATTACATAATGTCGTGTGTAAAAATATCAATACGTTCTATGAAAAGAGTCGTGTAATCAAAACGACACAAATATACATTTAGATCTGCATCACAAAACACACTACTATAATGCCATACAATTAACTCCGTCAGGAAATCAGTTGCCTCGGTTTCAATGGAATAAATACGATAGACGTAATGTACTAAGAAAGGTGTCACTCAAAGCTGGCAGACTTGACAAGGAAAACCATTTCAATACAAAGCCACATACATAATTGACTTAAAGGCTCAAATCATGTGGCGAGTTTGTAATCAAAAGACGCCAGATATTATGATAGTACAATAATACACTTACCCGATCGTCCCCACTCTCACTGTCACACTGAAATGACAACAAAGAGGCACATTAATATTCATGAACGCTCAATGAAAAGTGCACTAGTGCATTATGGGTAGATCGTTACAACACAGCAGTATTAAAGCGCTTTGATTGCAAACGGTATGTGAGCAATTTAAAAGGTGTTATAATAATATGTAACCTAAACAAAATCGAAAAAAGGTTGGCATCATGCTTGATCGACTTCACCTTGTGGTGGTATTTTAATACTCTGTTGAAGTCAGATTGGGGCGAGTGATAATAGAAGATATATGGGTAGTAATGATGATACTAAAGGTTTGTATGAATTAACGACAATACAGTTGATCTTTCTATTTTGACAGGTCGACATAATCTTTAACGCTATGAAAAATATACCCAAGAACGGAGATAAGAATACTATAATACTACGATATTGTCGTCAAATGCCCACGGACAGTATTGAATGGCGGTTGGCACTAGGACAATCATAAAGACAAGACTGGCCACGTACTAAAATGGCAAGATTCCTATCTGTAAAGACATCCACACCTACCTTATCTAAAAAGATGACATAGTTATAACAAAGCTTGGAGATATAAAATTAATTATTACTAAATTGATCCATTGTTTTGATAAAAGTACTTTAAACACTTATATATGTTCCGACAGGGGAATGTTATCTGATTTTAGTAGTCAGATCTTTAAAGCTTGTGTTTATATTACATTTTTGTACATCTTTATTTGTAAGATAATTTTATTCCACTGACGAATTTAAAGTCTAAATACACACTTAAAAAGGGGGCAGTGACAATTTACAAGAATGACAAAGATAAGTCAAATATGTCAGGGGAGATTCCACAAATTACTTACAAAGATTAATTGACCTATTTATTGACTGATTGATATTGTTTAAATCCACACATTTGCTATCAATGACTGATTGCATTCACTAAACTGTTATATGATCTTTTTTTAATGAATTATTTTACTGGCTTTATAATCTCTACTATATATATTGATTAGTATCAAATGAACCAAAATCATGTTCAATGGTGACAAATCTAGTGGGAGGAACATGGAAGGTTAACCCTTTAAAGAACATCTCATATTTCTCAAAATTTATAGTATTTTGCCTTATCTATTGAATTTTCTGGAATTACATCCCCCTTTCAAATATCCTGGATCTGCCCCATTCAGAACATAGAAATTTCAACAATTCTGTGTAGTTTACCAGAATTTTATGGAATTTTTAGTGTGCCACATATTTATATTTCAAAATTAGGCAAACGATCCTCAAAATAAAATTAGGATGATTTGATTCTATAAATACAATAACAAGAATACTTATAGCTTAAAACTTGTAACATGCAATGACAGACACATCCTCATAAAAAAGTTTCTTTAATTTTTTAGAAATATGAGCTACATGTCAATTACCTATACAGAAATAGCAACACACTTAACATGAACTGAATAGTAACAAGAAACTATAATGATCATCTTGATAAAAGAAATATTATGTTTAATTCCCTTTTACCTCATAAAATTTGAGTAAATTGCTTTAGGCTATTACATATAAAGCCGAAATTGTTCAATTTGGTAGTCCCTAACATCAGGCACCTAATAACCAATCAATTTAGGAATTGTGCAAAACCAAATTGACTGAAAATAAACAGAAATGTAACTGCAAAATATCCTATTGTATTAAAATAAATTGGATTGTATATGAAAGCAATATCTTAACCAACAAAGATATTTCAATGTAATACCAAAATATCAGCTAGATTTAGACCACCTTCAGCAGATGCAATGGTTAAGATTTATATACCGCAAAGGTCCAGGTTGACAGTTTACATGTCTGAAAGCAATTCAAAAGTTTGATGCCTAACAACTTGAAAACTCTTAGTGCAAAAGATTTAGCACTAAGATTGTACAATTAAATTAAAACTTTGAGTATTTTGTATTGACCTTCCAAAAGTTTCATAAGAGAGGACTCAGATGGCATTTTTATGATATATTTAATCAAAATTTTACATTTTTGAATATCTACCTGCTGGTTTTGAGAGAGAGAACCTTGAAATCATTAAGTTTAATTTATAAAATTAAAAGATATTTCGCATCTTTAATTCAGGATAGACACTTTAATCATCACATGCTGTTGTATCATCAGCACTTCTTATTCATAAACACACCTCAGAGTTAATCTTAATTTGCATATTTTTACAGGCCAATTAAAACCTGCTTTTTCATTCACTGCTGACACATTTTTACCCTGTTGCTAAGGAATTAAATTTAAAAGTTACTAGGCTAGGAACAATGTCCTGTCCTACCATGACAATAGCACATGCATATACAAATCTCTCATGAGCCATGTTGATACAACTGAGACTATTAAAAGCTTCATCTAAATCGTAAATGTTGTTTTCATTGTTCCCAGCAGTACAACAATAAATGCAATGATATTTGACACAAAATAAGCATTATTTCCTCCTCTGAGGATAATTTCTCTCTGATAATGGCTTATTTCATGCAGACATCAAAACCCCGTGACAATTATGACTGTTTGATAACCTGAAAATGTTAATTTCAGTAAAGTACAGGCAATTTCCGATTTTCAATATCGATTGAAACTTTAAAATGATTTATAAAGTGAGTCTTTTGTCGGGATTCCAAAAACGCTTTTAATATCTATTATATGAGTTTTTTTTAAAACAGGAAAATCGTGTCTGAATAGTGTAATTTTAAGCTTAATACAAAATGATCTATTCAGTAACAATTTTATTATATTAGACAGAATTTACAAACATAAAAATGCCATTGACATTTGTGAACAATACAAGAATCAGATCAGATTTTCTTTGACCTTCCAACCCTAAAATTCATTATTTGTAATTTCACAGCCTAACTGTAGCAGAAATATTAAACTTTTTATGGCCTTAATACACCTCATTTGTGCAAATGGCTTCCATTGTTTGTTATCCTTTGTTCAAGATTTTCAATAAATCTTAACTTCTCAAAAAGCCACTTGTGATTTCTTAATCTTTGGCCTCAGCAGCGACAACCTCCACCAACTGATTAACAGTGGTCTCTTAAAACCAAACATACAACTGTATTCATTAGTTAATTCTCGACCGTTGTTTGCCCAACATGCAAACAAACAGCACTTCAGAGCTGAAGAGGATGAATTTCATTAATTCTTCACATGCTGATGACTTTATTGTGATAATTATTCTCCATCTGTCAAAAGCACTCAAAGCCGTCTCATTATAATGGCTGACCTGAATTGCTACAAAACATAATTTTCTCACTTGATTACCCTTGTCAGCCACAGGACAAATCTGACCTTTGATTTGTGATAATAGCGACCGACTATCATCTTGAACTCCATGGTCAGCTGCTTATTGATCATCGGTGATGGAACGGATGTTCAGTTTCACATAAATTAACATGAATGATGCAAGAGAAATGAACGTTGTCATTACCACACGTGCATTCTTAATAGAAACAAATTACTTCTATTCACAAATACAAGTAATAAAATGTCGTTTTAAAAAGAACAAAAATATCATAATTAATTAAAATTCATGGGTATGAATAATACAAGAGAGACGGAGTTCATTTGTATTAACTGTTGTAATATTATTTATTAAGAAAACAATGTTTTAACATGCAAAACTGTTCCCATAATTCCCTAAAGATGTGTCATAGGAATAAAAGATCTTTTGTCCACGTCAATATGAGTGAAATATCAGTTCATATATATATCTCTTGGAACACCAGAAAAAAAATCATTTTTCTTTTAAAGAATGTATGCAGTCAACTATTCAGATGGAATTATCTATGGACATTTAAACTAAAATATAAGATCAGATATTTACAATAATAGCATGTTTTGCAATCAGTAAACTATCATGTTAAAAATTTGATAAGAAAACAAACAGAGGTTCATTCCAGCTTACAAGACAATTTATTTAAAAGAACTCAGTAAACAATAAAATAAGACCTTGGGGAAGAGTAAAGCAATTCCTTTTTTTCTTCAAACTTCAGCAATTGTTCAGCTGTGTGAAAATGTTTTTTATTCTACATTTTTGAGAACCGATTTCTATAAAGTCATTCAAACAAGCTTTGGATTTATATCTTAACAACCACAATTTACCATGACAACCTATAATCGTAAACAAACTACAAAAATAACAGGACTTTTCTCCGTCAGTCAAATTACTGAGTTTTTCAACATCCTTGATTAAACTGGCACTAAAGGCTTCATGATGATGGCAGGAACAGGTTAATCACCACCATTAGGAAATTTCTGAGGCTAAAAGGTTTCCACAGTAACAATTTTGCATTGATTTTTTACCAATTATATTCCGTGAGAATTTCCCTAATGAGTTACAACAGTCAGTTTCCGCTAATTTTAGGCGAAGTTTAATGAATAAAGAATAACCAATGAGATGTTTTGTTTAAACAAGATTGCTCTCGTAACGTCAATGTGAAAGATCCCAGTCTAACACTACAATATTAACTAGTTGTAACCGAAATAAACTAGATCACAATTGGCCTTCATTTGTATCATAAAAGTACTTTTATTTACGGATTGAGTTGGATTTATAAACAGATCATTAATAAATTGGTTTAAAAATTGTTGTTTCAAATATCGAGATGCCAAAAAAAAAAAGGTAAACAAATTATAAAATTAAATTATGAGATGAGTTACCTCAGGATAATAAACTGGAGACCATTTTAACAGAGAGGTCAAATCACCTAATTTTTCTGTTACCAATTCTAATAAAATAAAAATAGTTTCATGTTGCCTACCTACCCACCTAAAAAGCAGCCTACCAGAAAAATTATATGACACAAATCGTTTCAAAATTAAAAAAAATTTTTTTTTCATGCTTCAACTTTGTTTTCCTGTCTAAAACACGTAACTTATGTTGCTGGCAAAAACAAACAAAAAATCCCTAACTACAGTAACCTACCCAACCCTACAAGGCATGGGTAGGCAACATCAAACAAAGAATTTAAGGGTTGCCTGATAATAAAATTATTAAATAATTATATGTAGTGGGTGTCCAGTTACAGTAACCGGAGATGTTGGGTATAGTACATAGTCGTCACTGCAACAATTAAGATAGAATATTTTAAATAAAATGCTTCGCTGAGCGCAGCCTGATACGACCGCAGAGGTCGAACCCTGAACAGTTGGGATAAATTTGGACACAATATTCAAGCTTGATACTGTCTGAATTTAGATTGTGATCAAATTTTTGACATAATATAGGTTTCCGACACAAAATAAATGTGGTCAAAGATCTTACAAATCTATTGTGAAATACTATGCAATTGCAGATTTCTTCTTGAAACTTTTCAAAAATTTGAAATTTGAAAAATTTTGAAAAAAAAATATGAACCCCTTAAAAAAGTTGGAAAAAAATCCCCTCCCCAAACTTTTTGAATTCCACCTTGGAGCAATTACCCCCAAACTCAATCCCAGCTTTCCTCTGTAGTATGGAACCTTGTAGTACAATTTCAGAGAGATCCATACACTTAAACATAAGTTATTGTCTTGAAACTTAGAAAAATGCTTGTTTTTGGCCCTTTTTTGGCCCCTAATTCCTGCATGTTTGGGGCAATTACCCCCAAACTCAATCCCAGCCTTCCCTTTGTGATATGAAACCTTGTGGTACAATGTCAGAGAGATCCATACACTTACACACAAGTTTTTGTCCAGAAACTATAAAAGTGCTTGTTTTTGGACCCTTTTTGGCCCTAATTCCTCAACTGTTGGCACCATAACCCCCAAAATGAATCCCAACCTTCTACTTCTGGTATCAAACATTGTGGTACAATTTCAGAGCAATCAAGATACTTATACACAAGTTATTATCCTGAAACTAGAAAAATGCTTGTTTTGGGCCGCTTTTGGGACCCTAATTCCTAAACGGTTGGGACCATCATCCCCAGCCTTCCTTTTGTGGTATTGAACCTTCTTGAAAAATTTCATAGAGATCCATTCACTTAAACTAAAGTAATTGTCCGGAAACCAAATGTGTCTTAGGACGACGACGCAGACGACAACATCATACCATTATACCATCCAAAAAAAATGTTTGCGGTCGTATAAAAATACCATGAAATAGGTTCTGTGGAAAATGTACATATGGGATCCTTAGCAATTCTACATGTCCGTCAGACAGTGTTGACCTGACCTCAACCTCATTTCATGGATAAGTGATCAAGGTCAAGTCTTCGTGGTCAAGTCCATATCTCAGCAGTTCAACTGAATTTGGTGTATGGAATTACTGTCTGGAAGGTTTCATATGACCTTGACCTCATTTTCATGGTTCATTGGTCAATGTTAAGTTTTTGAGGTTTCGTCAGTTTTACAGATACTTAAACAAATTAGGTCAACTACATTATGTGTATGGAATTATTGTTCAGTGTACCTGGCTGTATGGCAAAGTTCATATGACCTTGACCTCATTTTCTTGGACCTTGATAATGATAAGCATATGTGATACTTGTATTAAAACTTTTATATTAGTCGACTTTCGACATAAATTCAATCATGATAAGTAAATCAGGTGAGACATTTTTAATAGTCTGCAATCTTGTTCATGTATACTGCAACAAATTAAAATGGGCTCTCTGCAAGTGTTTCAAAGTAATTATTTATAACTGATTATACGGGAATCAATAATGAAATTTTACGATTGATCATCTAGTTGGGTTGCCTCAACTGACGGATTTTCAATTATAATGTTTCATCAGAACATTACTTAAACCTATGTGCATGTGCAATTTTTGTTTTCATCTATCATATATTACAAGCCTGAAACCAAAATTAAAAGTCAGTACAATTTAGACAGAAAATGATTCTATACAAAGTTATAAATAATTTCTAATTACTTTTTATTCCACTAACCTATGTGCATGTGCAAATTGTGTGATTTGACCTTCCTGTTAAAAATGGTCGCCAGTTGACAGACAATTAATTTAAATATTTTGAAACAAAGTTGGTAGGCAGCAATTTGAGCCATTGATATTTGGAGAGTTTTTACAATTTCTTTGCATGCATATTAATAAAACTTAACTAGGGTCAAATTCACAGTATGTATGTTTGTACTTTTTGTGTATGCCTCCTATCTAGGAGCACCACCATGAGATATGGCATAAACAGCAAAACATGTTTAGGGGCCAGCTGAATCCCGCCTCCAGGTATGGGATTTTCTCGCTGTGTTGAAGACCCATTGGAGGCCTTCGGCTGTTTTCTGCTCTTTGGTCGGGTTGTTGTCTCTTTGACACATTCCCCATTTCCATTCGCAATTTTATACAAGCACACACACCTTCCTCAATCACTCATCATCAAAACATTAAATAGTGTAAAATGACGAAAACAATGTTTCCCTACACCTACCATGAGTATTAAAAGATAATTCACTTCTCAGTATTACAGTGAAGCTGAGGAAGTAAAATGTAATTTTATAGTTAATTCAGTATTAATGAAATAATTCACTAAAGCATGTAACAAGTTTAACTTACCAAGTATCCTCGTCCAGAGCTAGAACTGGCCTGTAAAGAAAACATAAATGCTTGAAATTACACAAAACTATTTCCACTTTCAATTCAACACCAATGCACTAACGTTAGTATAAAAAAGTAATGTTACAATCTATGGATTTTTATATTACAGATTTAAGTTTTTTCTGACTTGAAAAAAATCATAATAGCCTTTTTACTGAACAGTATAGGTTATTAATACTACAAGAAAATGACATTTTCAACAGATGACTACAGTTGTTTTACATTACTTCACATAGTTATGGCATGTACGTATTATATGCTCAGGCAAGAGAGTAAATTCCTTCAAAAAAAAAAAATATGAAAAATTCAGCAACTGCATGTCTATTGAAATGCAGTGAATAAGATTTATAAATCATGCAGTCGTAAATATCTGCTGTATTATCTAAAACATTTCCAATATAAAGCGCATTTATTGACTCTAAAAATCTTAAATTATATGCAATTATTTCACATTAACTTATATATACAAACAAACAAATTATATATCATTTATAAATTTAAAAATCAACATTTAGAAATGAAAACTTCAAATAGTGTTTTTTTTAAATCTTACCTTCATGGTTTTATTAGCCATGTTATAAAATGCCATCTAATAAAAAACTTAAAATTGTAATACAGTAAATATTACATATAATGGGTTCTTTAAGGGAGGCCTCTTCTTAAATGTTTGGATTTCTGATTACAAACTTAACTAAATCATCAATAATCCTTAATATATACTTAAACTATACTTAAAAACAATTTCCATACATTGAAATTTAAAAACTTTTATTACTTCAAATATTCAGCACCTATTACCTTGCTGTACAGAGGGATATTAAAATCTACTAAATCTATTCAAACTCATGCTGCAACTGTACATATTTTTGGTAAAGGGGTAGAATTTTTAAATTGAAATCGCCCATCAGCGCCTCTCCAAATGAGATTATTAAAGACGATTTAGAAAGCGCAAAACAGATTTTTATTTTTATTAAGAGTATTTCTTTAAAACTTTTGACATTATTCTTTAAATGGTAACACCTACCTAAAACCCATTAACTGTACTTAGCATTCAAGATCAAAGGGATTTACGAATTAGCTATTCAGATGATTCTTAAAGAAATCTGCCACAACCTTTGACGAGGCGTGACAAAAACCACTGATCAATTCATTTATAAACACACAAAGTTAGCCCCCTTTCATATATCATCAACCGATTGTACACCCTTCACATATCAAAGGAGTTTTGTGTCGCCATATTCCTTAATATGGACAAAATTCTTAAAAGTTTCCACTTTACATATTTTTTTTGGTTATAATTCAAAAATTAAATGCTGTAAACGTAACTGTATGGTAACAATTTATACAGTCCATCACATTTAAAAATTATCAGTTTATGAATTTTGTTTCCGTGTGACTCGCTGCAAACATGTTTTAAAATCAGTACGTGCATCCATTAAACTTGCCTTTTAAGTAGATTATATTTTTTGTAAATTGCACTTTTCCAATAATTTTTCAATTGAACAAATTTCCAACTCAAAAGTTCTCTTTATAAGTTGAAACCTTACTTCAGTTTAAGAGTGAATTTAAAGCCAACCACTTCCCTTTTCCAAGAAACACTTATGTTTGAATACTTAAAGTAAGATTTGACTATACAGTCTGCTACACAATTATCTGTCTATATTCACACATGTTGGTATATATATCACAGCGGTTATCATATAAGCTGCGCCTGATAGAAATCGACCTTATGCAAGTGCACATATATATACATGTACATGTTTACGACTAACTTTGATTTTGGAATATTCAAATACGAAATAAAAGATGAATTTCGGTCTGTTTTGTAGGGTTTTTATAACAACTCAATTTTCAACCAGTAACAGACTTTCGGTAGAGATTTTTTTAAACCCTAAATAGGTTAAAAGTTATTTTGATATTCATTTGCATAAGGTCAATTTCTATCCGAGGCAGCTCATATTATAAAAGGATTTCAAACGTTTGGAACAAAAATGAAATTTCAGCAAGTTGCATCTTCAGATTATGTAAATTGATACAGTACCCCATCTTAGGGTAAAGGCAGTCCTAAGCATTGAGACTGGAAATTTGAATGGTCCATAAAACCTAAATATTGTAGTGTAAAAACTTTTTTTCAGATGTATTGGATAAAATTATATCAACTATAATTTTGTAGATAAGTAATCTTTCAGATGTTAATACACTTACAATATATAAAATATACTGAAAGCTGTTGTTATCAAAAACAATAAGGGAGTCAAAATTCATATTTGACCACCTGCAGAAGTCCGAAAAAAGGCCACATTCAACAGAAATTCAAATTTGTTTTTAATAGTTGGTACACTGATCAAACTAAAGAATCTTTTTTACTCACTAAAAAAAAAATTTCAGATCGATTTTTCTGAATTAGATGCTGGTTCAGATTGATAAAAGCTTACTTCAATTACCTTTCAATCAGAATAAAAAGAAACTAACACAATTATTTCGGCTTAAGCTAAGGGTCATGATTAGGTCCTGAAAGACCTCTTCAATATGATCTTAATGATATTTGCTTTAAGCTTATTTCTATCAAATGCAATGTTCTCTCTTGTGTTTATTCATGTTCTTTTATCTCTGCCCTCTTGGAATGTTGCCTGTTGGTGAAGTAAAACCTAAAAATTTCTAACCAAGTGCTCATTAAAATAAAATGCTCCGCAGGGCGCAGCTTGATACGACCGCAGAGGTCGAACCCTGAACAGTTGGGGCAAGTATGGACACAACATTCAAGCTTGATACAGCTCTGAATTTTGGATTGTGATTAAATATTTGACACAGCATAGGTTTCTGACACAGAATGAATGTTGTCTAAGAACTTAAAAATTTTAAATTGGACATTCACCTATTATGGTCCAATATCCAAAATCTAAATTCATGGTTAGATTCAGCATATCAAAGAACCCCAAGAATTCAATTTTTGAGGAAATCAAACAAAGTTTAATTTTGGACCCTTTTTATCTCAATGTGAACAAAGTTGATAACGGGGCCCAAAAATCAAAAATCTAAATACATGGTTAGATTCAGCATATCAAAGAACCCAATATATTCAATTTTTGTTGAAATCAAACAAAGTTTAATTTTGGACCACGATTTGGACCAACTTGAAAACTGGGCCCATAATCAAAAATCTAAATACATGTTTAGATTCAGCATATCAAAGAACCCTAAAAATTCAATTTTTGTTAAAATCAAACTAAGTTTAATTTTGGACCCTTTGGACCTTTATGTAGACCAATTTGAAAACGGAACCAAAAATTAAGAATCTAAATACACGGTTAGATTCGGCATATCAAAGAACCCCAATAATTCAATTTTTGATGAAATCAAACAAAGTTAAATTTTGGACCCTTTGGACCAATTTAAAAACGGGGCCCAAAATCCAAAAAATTAATACACGGTTAGATTCAGCATATTAAAGAACCCCAAGAATTCATGAATAAAACCCCATTGAAATTGAGCAAGAAATAAGCAATTTATATGAAGTATCTTCTTTTGCACAATACTGTGCAATTGAATATTTCTTGCTATTGCGCAATACTGTACAATTGACAATTTCTTGCTATTGCGCAATATTGTGCTATTGGATATTTCTTGCTAATGCGCAATACTGTGCAATTGAGATTTCTTGCTATTGTGCAATACTGTGCAATTGAAGATTTCTTGCTATTGTGCAATACTTATTATATAATAATTTACACATCCTGTTTGGTGTGTATCTCCTACCATATCATTATTATTTGCTTTTAAATATAAATCAGAAATAACCAACTTAAAATGGAAAATTTTAAAAGAAAAATAAAAGGAAAAGAAAAAAAAAGAAAAAAAAAAAATCCCCCCCCCCCTAAATTTTTGAACCCCCTTATAATTCATCACCCCCAAACTCAATCCCAGCCTTCCCTTTGTGGTATGGTACCTTGCAGTACAATTTCAGAGAGATCCATACACTTGAACACAAGTTATTGTCTGGAAACTAGAAAAATGCTTATTTTTGGCCCCTTTTTGGCCCCCAATCCCTAAACGTTTCGGGCAATTACCCCCAAACTCAATTCCAGCTTTCCCTTTGTGATATGGAACCTTGTAGTACAATTTCAGAAATATCCAAACACTTACACACAAGTTATTGTCATGAAACTAGAAAAATGCTTGTTTTCTGCCCCTTTTTTGGCCCCTAATTCCTAAAATTTTGAGGCAATTACCCCCAAAATCAATTACAGCCTTCCCTTTGTGATATGGAACCTTGTGGTACAATGTCAGAGAGATCCATACACTTACACACAAGTGATTGTCTGGAAGTTACAAAAATGCTTATTTTTGGCCCCTAATTCCTTAACTGTTGGTACCATAACCCCCAAAATCAATCCCAACCTTCCTTTCGTGGTATTGAACCTTATGGTAAAATTTCATGGAGATCTATTCACTTAAACTAAAGTTAGAGTGCGAAAACCAATGTGTCTTCGGACGACGCCGGACGACGCCAGACGACGACGACGACGACGACGACGACGACGACGACGACGACGCCAACGTCATACCAATATACGACCAAAAAATTTTTAATTTTTGCGGTCGTATAAAAAGGGACCAGGAATTTTTTTCCTAAAAAAAAATCCAATTAAAACTGATTATTAGTTATACTGAAATCTTCATGACATCCAAATATGTTTCATTGTAACATTATTTTTTTAAAGAGCACCAGAAAATTGAACAGTTTTCCAGTTGTTTTTTGTGTCTTTTATATGCTTTCAGAAGCTTCTTTTGCATTTGCACAGAACCTGCCACAAGCAGTCTTGTTCATTATAAGTAGTAACCAAAGCATTCTTTATTATAAATAACTAATCTTCATCACTTGAATATGCCTGAAATATCTGCCACAGAACATTAACAATCAATTATTAAAAACTAACCAATTTAATACAAATCATTTTTGAATATTTTCTTAAAAAATCTAAAAATACCTGACCTAATTTTTTTTCAATATCAATACAGAAAAAATTAGACATTTTTTTTTAAATATTCTTTTTTAGTTGACAAGCGTATTTTTGTTGTATTAAAAATCAATTATGATAATAACCAACCATTCACATTGATTTTTAGATGTAGCAAGCTGTTTTTTCTTGAATCTGAAATAAGATCTCCTAGGTCTTCATTTGGTTTTTTATCATTTATGAGTACACAAGATAATTTGGATTGGCATGACACAATGTTTACATTAAAACACAATAGCCTCTCAATCTGTGACACTTAAAGAATGATGTTGATGCTACGAATATTATCCAAGTTCTGCTTGCTCTTATTTTATTTACATAAATTGCAAGTGCACTGACGAACTATTTGTCCATGTAAAAGGTTAATGTAAATACAACAGCAAAAATACACAACATGTGTTGTTTGTTGTTGTTCATTTGTTAGTACACTAGTCAGCGGTGTTTGTGATTGGTGTGGTCTAGCTGTTGTACGAATTGTCCATTTTTTTTGGTATTATATTTGCTACTGAGCATTCAACTAAAATTCAATTAGTTACTGTGGATTCATTATTATTATTCGTTGAATATCAATTTTCATCGATTTCATGAGTACAGGTGAACCACTAATTCAAATGTTCAACAAATTACAAATTTTCTGAAGGTTTGTTACTGCAGAGATTGGCAAAACCACGAAATCAAATATCCACGAAAATACAAGTTTTCCTCAATCCCTGAAAATTGATACCCACGAAAATAAATGAATCCACGTTATATTATAGGCTGTGTTGCTTGGCCCTAAGCAAATGCCAATTTTGGTTCGTGTTGCTCAATCTTTAGTTTACTGTGTTGTGTTTTGTATACTATTGTTTCTCTCTTGGGCCTTTTTTTCTTTTTTTTGTTTTGTCACATTTATTTTAGACTTATGCGTTTGAATGTCCCTTTGGTATCTTTTGCCTCTCTTTTGCATGCAACCAACACACAAGAAAATATTTAAAGCCCAAGTAAAGGCTTGTTAGCAAACGCCCACCCTAAACTATCATATGACAGTAAACCCATGTATTAGGTATCGTTCCATTGTTAATGTTATATATGTGTCAGTCATTGACTGATTAACCGTATACACAAAAATTTCATTGAGGTCATTGTCACTCCTTCTTCTACCCCCACTATATTACACAACAGTATACACACCTCACTTAGCAAGTCTCTGGAATCGGTACTTCTCCTAGGACTGTTGATTTTATGATGATCTGTCAGCTCTCCACTGGAACTAGGTTCAACTGACTCTTCACTCTGCCTCAGTCTGGGGGAAGGTAGTGGAAGAGGACGATGCTGAAAATAAAATAAATAAACATTAGTTATGTGCATCCATACCTAAATTTGTTCGTGGCCTTGGGCTCTTTTTTATTTTTTTGTTTGGGTTGTTGTCTCTTTTGACACATTTCCCGTTTCCACTCTTTTTTCTACAGATTTTCCAGCAATGAAGCCAAATATATTGATTAAACCTTTTTACAGAGCAATATAAAATGTATATACATAATCCTTGCTTCTATTGCTGTAGTCAAAATCTAAACATTCTACATTCCTTTGTAAGACTAAGAACAGACTTTTTTTCCATAACATTTTTAAATTTATTTCTGATTAATATATAATAGGCCATTCCACTCTTGTTTGTTCCTGTACTTCAGAGAGGCTCAATGGAATTGAAAAAAATGCAGCTTCAAAATCTCCTTTTCCATGTGGAACCCCCTCTTTATTTTTCAGGATACTAATGCCCGCAAATCCTGGACGTAAAAAAATGATGCACTAAGAACATAACCATGAATTCAGTTGGTCAAACCAGAGCGACATAAACAAAACAGCAAAAAAAATGGTCTACAATCAACACATGATGTAGATATTTCAATTTTTCTCAAACCTTGTGTCAGCAGACTTAAGTTACAATTTTCTACAATTGTTTACGTCTGTAATTTTAAATATTGGCATCAAGAAATCCCAGTGTAAGCCAATATCAACATCATTTCTCTCGTACTTAAAAACAACTGGAATTCCCAGTTTGAAGACTAATTTTATTCCAATTCAATAAAATATATTCAGGAGATAATACCGATTGTCCAAACAAAAAATACAAAAACTTTGCTATTCTCCTGAGAGTTCTGCAGGCAATAACGGGGATCATGAGAAAAACAATAGCGCATTCGAAGAGATTAAACAAATAGAAAATGTAATATGGGAATTAATTCAATGGGATTCTATATCTATAAAACAGACGATTAGCAATTTATGTTCCAACCTATACTCATTAAGGACCAGCTTAATAACTTTTTTTTTATTCTCTCAGGAAATAAGAACATGGCCGTTTCTCACACCTGCACACCAATTTCAGCATTTTTATGTCTTTGCAAGGAGAGTGTTAATTATTCAGTGGTAATGACACCTTTACTGTTGAATAATAAATGAATGAACATTAAAAGACCTGTGGAAACTAACACAAGAACTTGCAGATGTTTTTATGATACTTGTTTTTTATTCAGTTTGTATTACAGTTTCAAGACAAAATATGTTTTACATTTCAAATTGATTTTGTATTTTGATCCAGTCCTTTAAGTCTTATTTTAAAGAGAAGGAATAAAATTGCTAACAAACAGCAGATAAATAGAGTTAAATTCAAAAAGAATATAAGGCTATGATTAATTGATATTTTAATGTTCAAGGTCAACTTTCAATTTTCAAATCTTCAAGTAAAATGAAGGTTATCCTCCTCTTAAGTTGGAGAATAAGCTTTAAATGGAATAAGTTCCACTAAATCGAACGGAAGCACTGTTTCTTAGACATAAAACTATTTCTCATGCAGACTTAAACAAAACTGCTTTCTTTAGATAGGGCTAATAACAGAATATCAAATTATATAAATCAGACTGTTTTTCGCAACTTTAAATTTATGTCCCATTTACTAAATGCATCACCACAGCATCAGATTATGCTATGAAACCTAGTTTACTGATTAACAGTTCAATAATAGCCACAACTGCAAACATCAACTATCTTATCGGAGGATAAAGGTTACTGTTAATTCTTTTATTTTCATCGACTGAGTAAAACTTGTATTTTTGTGGATATTTGATTTCTTAGTTTTGTCAAAGTCTGCATATGTATTCCTTTAAAAATTTGTAATCCATTGAACATCTAAATTCGAAGTCCCCAATGTGTACCCACAAAACCCATCAAAATTGTTTACCAAGGAAGTGGGTCTAAACATGACGCGGGCTTGGCTGATTTTTTATAAGCATGACATGTGAAGGTCAAATTACTGTGCGTGAAAACGGGAAATTACAAGCGTTATTTTTTACAATGATAAGTGGGACACGAGAATCGGACAAAACAATAAGTGGGATCTAGGATCAGACCCTCCAATTAGACCTCCAAGGAATAATAATGAATCCTCAGTTTTTTAAAATTGCTTATTGAAAGCCAATGTAAAGAACTAACCATTGTCCAAAACAATATATCTTACCACAAACAAACATTATCCTTATGTTCATGATATAACAATCAATATATTCTAACACATCAAATCGTAACTCCTAAATCACATCATCAATTTGTGCAACAGTCACAAGCTCCCGCGGACCATTCCGTCTATAATTATGCCAGCTACCAAAGACAGTTTTATCACTGGGAATTATGGGGCAAATTACAGCTGTGTATTCACGTGAAACTTTTTATCATACCCTATTAGAACTTAATAACGGTAATATAGAAACCAACTGCCTTTAATAACCATTCTGAATCAGAGATAATTTCACTCTTCTTTTACCGGAATTCCTGAAAATTATTCCTAATGACGGACACAGAATCGGAGAAATGAAAGTTTTACACAAAGATAGTGATTATCAAACCAATACTGACGTCCTAACTATATGCTGCTACGATCAGGCTATATTTTACCAACTGATACCATGTCGAGTTATATTTACAGCAAACATAAATACAAGTTAACATCAAATTATACGTAATTTACTTCTTTTTATGACTTTATTGGAATATCCAACATCCTTGACAGAATTATACAATATATGGGGAAATAACAACTTCCAATGGTTTCCCCTTAGGAATTGCTTTGATTTTTTGAAAAAGAATAATTGGATTTCTGACGAACAATTTAGTTTCCATGGTAGTCCCTAGTTTTTTGGAATATAGGAGTCTTAATATATTTTTTGTACATAGCATAATGCTTAGTACCTAAGTACTATTATTTACTTATATTCTCTGAAATACCAAATGTTTATTCTATATATACAAGGGGAGTGAGGGGGACTGGGTCACAAAATTAGGTGACAAAAATTTAAAAGTTATAAAAGCTGCTTAATTCACACATCTAAGGCTTGTGAACTGGAGACATCACACACATTCATCCAAGCTTAAGCAAGACACGGAACACTCCACTAGTATTTCTTAGATTAACATTGATTACTTAAACATGCTCCTTGACCAAAATATTCTAACATAATTATCACTTAATAACACGGGATCATCAACTATTGATGGCATTCATCTAACCTACTCATCACAAATTTACTCATACTTTCATCCCTTCTTCGTGTCGACCCCAGAGTGCAGGATACTTCCGAGATGCCACATTAGGATATTGATTGGCATTAAGATACCATATTGATTCCGATTTTATTTGTGTCAGTCAGGCGAACTCATCCATTCACTGAAGCCTGCCAATTTATAGCACAAATTACAGAAATAAAATGGCTTAAGGAAACTATTAGTGAGCGACAATGAAGGAAAATATTCTGTAATTTAGCCTAGTCAGTCTCCAGACATGAAATGATTAACAACAATAGCCCTTGTCAGCTGAACACATTTGAATTATGGGTTGCAAAGATTATGGTGTAAGTTGTTAGGATTAAGGTATTGAGGACCATTATCTTGGTTATGGAATAAATTGTCCTTGTACAAATCAAAACAAGTGAGGGTGGTAATGGACTACCTGTATGATCAAGGCAACGTCACAGCTAAAAAAAATAATAGTATTAAAAATAAAACTTTCTTTTATCTCCACACTAATTGTAATTTAGAATCAAATTAAACATTTTACCCATGTTTAAATGCAACAATAAAGCAGTACAAAAGTAGATGATCAATTAACAAAGGGTAGGGCTCAAGAAGGGAAATTATCTATTCACCAGATGTCTGTCATCATGTCAGCTTATAAACAAATGTGAAATACAGCACACACAGTAACATTATGTTCCCCCCTTTTTCCCTCTCAAAAGAAAAACAAAACATATAGAAATGATTATAGGTCTATTAAATAAGAGCTAACAAAACAAATTTCAATTGTTCATATAATTAACCACTTAACTCCACTTAAACAACTCTAACAATCCGAGAAAACTTAACATTTTCTGAATATACTGATATTTGAATGGAAATAAGGCTGAATCAAAGGCCAATGTCCATATAATGCTGTTAGTGAAAAAATTGAGTAAAAATATCAACAGATGTTAATAATGAACTTGTTATTTTCAATCATAATTTCCACAAAGCTTTTTATGCTTTGACCTTTTAAAGCAAATGTTACATACATATAAAAATATACATGAACATGCAAATTTGTTTCCGTTTTTTCAATTTCAAATTACGTCAACATATTGCATTCTTCACGCCATTTTAGATAGCTCTCTTTGCGTTATTGATGCATCATCTCCTTGTACACAGCATTTATATTTCAAGCATGTATTTCCTAATGTGTTTTTAATAAATACAACTCACTTGGAAAAATGCTAAAAATATTATTCATAAAATGAAATTACATGTATTTCGCCAAATGCTTTATTTTTAACTTTTCAAATCCAGTTGTCATGTAATTATAATCATTACTCTCAAAATGTCTAGAAACCCTATTGATAAAAGGAAAGTTAAAAAAGATATATATTAGAAAAATTTAAGTAATTTGATTAGTAACAGAGGAGTGAAAAAAGATAAAATGATTATACTAAAAAAATTTGAGGAATCTTTTCAAGAATTAGTCACATGATCTCTGTAAAAACAGAAAATTAAGAACAAAATTTACAAAAGGACTTTCCATTCTCAATTTTATTTGGTAGAATTTTGACGTTTTCTGCAATATTCCCAAACATCATTTATACCAGCAGTATATTTTATAGTAAAATGTCATTAGAAATCGCATTTGACTTATCATGAGCATAATTTTACAGTACATATATGATCATATATAATTTTTTCTAAGATAACTATTTGTTAAATGTGGTACCTACATGTTTATTTTATGAGTTCATGATTCATTTTACAAAAATTTT